TTCCCTTCTATCCACGAACCACTGCTTGTGACCAAAGCCACTGCATCTCTCTCTATCGAATCGCCAAACCACCCTCATACTCTCTATGATCGCACCGTGAAGACCGCGGGTCTCCCTCCGCCGCTCCCGTGCAAGTCCGACTGTGATTTCCTCCCTCCTCTGGTCGTACTTCTGGCATTTTCTTCCTTCTCTGATTCACTTTTTTCCGGTAATTTCACATAATCTCTTGCACTTAATTGCTTATTACATAATTGATCATGTGAATTAAGATTAATTTGAGTTGAAATTCTTGAATTATACTTGATTGTGAAGATTAATTTGATTTGAATCATAATGTGAATTGAATTGTGGAGATTTTCTATGACTTGATTCTTGAATTTTGGATATGATGTTGAAATTCGGAATTGGTTAAGTAATTACATAATCGATATAGATCTTGAATTTCATTCGGAATATTAATGTTGATTTTTGAACACCGAATTTTAGATCTAATATTGATTATGGAATTTTGATGAGGTTTAAGTTGTAAATTCATGAGTTGATGAAACTTTCGATCGATTTGTTGATGAATTCAATTTTTCAACATTAAAACTTCAAATCTGATAAGTTGAATTAGCACTTGAATTGTGTTGTCTTTGGCTTGAATTATGTGGATTTTATTCATTTGTAAAGTGCTTATAGTTTCTAAGCGACGATACATGAACCGGTAAACGCTTTTGCACCCGTTTATGAGTTTTTAAGCTCATTTCTATTCAATACCAGTATATGTACGCATTGCTGCTCGGGAACTACAAGTTCCTTGAAAATGGATTTTCAAATGTTGTTTGATGCATATTCATGCTTGCTCGCGCGTTTGTGGACTATTACAGTTGAATTTTACCGTTTTCAACATGGTTTTCCGAGCAATTCTTTGGCACGATGCAATGTTGTCCTATTATTGTAAGTTGAGCATAAGGCGACATTTCTTTGATGGTTAATGCTCATGGTACTTGGTTTTGGTACTTGGACGACATTTAGGCCAAGTTTTCTCGATTTCAGATCAAATTTTCATGGGTTTATGTTTTAACGGTGTTGCTGCCCAGGAATGGTAAGTAGCACTTGCAAGGTGATTTAATTCACAGTGATTGCTTATGTGATCTTCTTGGTAAGTTTGGTAGCTACCGATACTATTTTGGAGCGGTTTTATACCGAACTTTTGTGCACTCATGTTTGTGATGTGATACTGCTCGGAGTTTACATTTATGGTTTCAATGTGCATTTAATTTCTACTTTTTCATGATTTAATCATAAATTGAATTGTGTTGAGGGTGCATAACTCTGAGTTCGCTTCCTTGTTGTTTTTAACGTGTTTGTTGACTTGTGAAAGGTACTTTGAGAGCTTTTGATAATTTAATTAATACATTTATTATTCGATGGAAAATCATGATATGCCACTTCATTTGTGGATTTGTGGATTCGCTTCTGACGCGATTTACTTTGATTCTTATTTCATGAGAAATATGCATTGTTTGCATTTTTTATGGATGTGAATTTGTGTACCAGTGTTCTGTTTATTACGAATGTGTCTTCCACGCATTCCCATTGTGCTTTATTGATTGGCGCATATTCTGACTATTAGGTTATTGATGCTAGCTTGCACGAAGTTTTCTGGAGTATTTATGCTTCTGCTTGCTACGAACTCTTGTTCGTTTGGTATTACACTGATACTGATTTTTGTTTCTGCATCATTTACAACTTTCCTTGTCATGAGAAGTAGGATAGAGATGTATGTCCTGGGAGTCCCTTTGAGGAAAATCTGGTTTATTTAAAGACTTGTTTAAGGAAATTCTTACTCGTGCTTGTTTACCATTTTATGTGTTTACATTTGTGCCAAAGACCTCAATGAAGGCGTCTCATTCTGATTCCCCATTGATAAGTCCTCAAAAGAGGCATAGGCGACAGAGGGTCCACAATCGATCCTGCCATTTCTTGTCTATGTCATTTGTAGCACGTGTCATGCATTGATGCTATGAATTGTGCTTCTCATGTTATCGATTCAGTCAGATGGAATAGGGATCCGTAACCAATCCCCCACATTTTTTCTTTATCTCGTGTTTGTGAAACATTGATGCTTTGATGTGATCTCATTATTGACTTCTACCTCCTACCTCGATTCGCGATATCTTGGTCAGGTGCTTAGTCTCTTATGACGATTCACTTTTATTCTTCTCTTACCTCGACTATTTGATATCTTGGTTATGAGTCGATACCCCTTGTCTTTCTTGCCCTGGTGATTTGATATCACGGTTAAGATCCATTATTCCCCCATTTCGCTTGTCTCGACGACTTGGTGTCTTGACTAAGAATCCCTTTATCTTACCTTGATGATTCGATGTCATGGTTAGTGCCCCATTTCCTTTGTCCTACCTCGATTCATGATATCATGGTTAGGCCTCCCTCTCCTTATCATATCTTTGTGTCATGATACCTCGATTAGGTGTGTGCTACTTGAGTGAGTGGATGCTCCTCAAGCTTTGTTTGTTTGTTTGTTTTAGCTTCAGCTTGACTTTGTTTGTTCGGGCTTTATGCTTATGTTTTTCATTAGGTTGTAACCTTTTCCATGTTCCCTTAGAATCTCTTGATTCAACCTTTGGTGGTGATTCGAGATAGACATTAGGATTGTAAGCCGTGCATGCTAACTTAGTTACAGATTCCCCCTTTATCCTTGACCTTATGGCTATCATTGTATGGTAACATTAGGGATTAGATTTATGATAGTCTCCCTTATTTGTTTTCTTTCCTTTTTGCATCCTTAAAACTAAAACCTTTTTCTTTGGCAAATGCATAAAATATCTAAAACTTTTCAAATCTTTTTTCAAGGTAAAAAACACCAAACAATGCAAATCTTTTTATCTTTGGACTTTCTTTTTATTTTAAAACCTTTTCAACAAGGATATGTTGTTTCAAATTCGAACAACTTGTAAATGCTAAGTGCATGACGGGCCGAGCATGAGTGTCTTTACGAGCTGCAACACCAAGCGAGAATTGCAATCCTAATCGTAAGGATGCAAATGCGGCATTATCCATAAAAAACACAAAACAAACAGAAACTATTGAGTCGAACTACGACGCTATGATTCCTTAAAAGAGATACGTAGGCATCTGGTCACGGGGCTCAGCCGAGCGAAACTTTATAAATATTTCCTTCTTTTCCCCGTGTTTTTTTTTGCATGCATTCCCTTTTGTTTTTACTTTTAGACCGTAAGCTTTAGCTTTGAACACACCATTTGATTAGAACAACAAGAGTGGATCTCGTCTAATACCACGAACGTGAGGGGTACTAATACCTTCCCCTTGCGTTATCGACTCCCTTGATTGTATCTCTCGGTCGTTTGACCTTGATTTCACCCTTCTCAGGTTTACTCGTTGTTCACCTTTCCTTTACCGTGGGATAAAAAATGTTTGATGGAGACTTTATTGATTTCATCTCGATGATTTGTTCCGCCGGTTGTTTTAGATATGAGTGTTAAAAGTCGCTTTGATCTTCAGTTTCGAGGAAAGGAAGATGGGGAAGACAGAATTCCCACAGACGGCGCCACTGATCTTACTGGTTGATCAAAACCTGAAAGTGGACCGAAGGATGACGTCTGCTTGGCTTGAAGTTTGAGGAGAGGATGGGGATGTACCTGCAAGACACTCCGACAATCAAATAAGAGTGAGTGTAAAGAGATACAAGAAAGATATTAGGGTTTAGAGTGTGAATATTGGATACCTGAGCCTCACAAGTGTGAGGGTTTATATAATGCCCTTAACGCTTGGCCATTGATTCATATTTTTGGGCCTAGATATTAGGTTCCTCAAAAATAGGTAACTACTAGGACTTGGTCAAAACAGGAAGTCGTGCCCGTAACTAGTCGTTGCACCGAGCACAGAAGGGATTATGAGCATAAACATTTATAAGTGTTTTCTGGTTGTCTGCTCTACGTTCGTCGAGTAGACCGTGAGATAGCTGCCCGTGTGGGCAGGAGTGTGTCTTGGGCGAGATCGACCCGAAATATCCGACAAGCGATTCAAAACTAATAGGTCAGCATTGTTGGACCATACAAAAAATAGAGACAGATTAGGCCAATTCTAGTTATTGAACTAGTCCGAAACATATATAATATTAATTCTTCCTCTCTCGTGTAAGCACATGCTTCTATTGAATTTTTAAATAAAACCTGTTTCATTTATGTTATACACTTTGGTTTACAACCAAATTATCTTATGCTACTTAATTAATATGTAGGACAATTGATCACATACAATGGAGAACCAAGATTTGCTTCCTTCTATGTAATGATTCTATTTTTTACAATTACACGTTTAATATCAAATACACTATTAAATTTACATTTTCAAAAAAAAAATAATATTCATCTTAATAATTTTCTTAGCCATACAGACGTACCAGTCTCCTACTAATTAAATTTAAAATCTAAATACTAGAATGTACAAATTATTGTAATTTCTGATATGCACTTGTTTGAGTCCACCATCACAACTTTATACGTCGCCGCAAGGTACTTCAAATACTAATAACTATTAGAAGTTTGAGAAGCCAAACTTTGAACTATTATTTATTGAATTTGTTGAACTTTGCTAAATGTCACAAAAGAAAGGCGAATAATATTTATTACTCCATATAAAATTATTAAAGAAAATTTAAATTAGTAACTTTTTTAAAGTTTCGATAGTTACTATTAGTTACATGAAAAACTGCAAAGATTCATATTCGATAAAATAAAGTTTAAATGTTTTTGAATTATCTATTTAAATTAATCTTTTGAAATAAATATTTAATTATTATCTCATGATAATGTTTGCCTTCCCTCATAGGCCAAGAAATACTTTAAATAACAATCACAATTAACCATCTTTAGCTCTTCAAACTCTCGAAGCCTTTTCTATAAACAAGTGTTAGATATATGTAAATTGATGCATTTTCATAAAATACAAAAAATAAAATAAAATATACTAGCATGGATGGTTTCACAAAGGAGCAAGAAGCTTTGGTGAATAGCTCATGGGAAGCATTCAAGAAAAACATTCCTCAACTTAGCATTTTCTTCTATACCTTGTAAGTCTTCTTTCTCTACTATGGCCTCTCTTTCCCTTTGTTTGAGTTTCTAATATACCATTATGTGACACTCTTTGCATTTGGTGGATTAAAAAAAAAAAGGATATTGGAGAAAGTACCTGATGCAAAGGACATGTTCTCGTTTTTGAAATACTTTGATGTAATACCACATAACAATTCAACACTCGAGGCACACGCCGAATTGATTTTTGAAATGGTTAGTATAATACTAGTATCAAATTTTGGGCAAGTTACTCGTGCGCCTTAATGTTTATGTTTTGTTTGGATCGTAGACGCGTGATTCAGCTGTTCAACTTCGAGCAAAAGGAAAAGTAGATGTAGCTGATGATGTTACATTAGAATATTTGGGTTCTGTCCATGTTCAAAAAGGTGTCATTGATCTTCATTTCATGGTATGCTCCTTAAATTAACACTTTGTAATGTAACCATTTGTCACTCATTTTAAAAATTGTTCTTTTTAAACTAGAAAGTAATTAAAATTGATATTTCAAAAGACAACAAGTTTCTTTAATCATAAAATCCAATATTTCGTAGGTTATCATTTTCCTTAAAAGAAGTTAGAGCTAACCAACGCTGGTTTTTTTATAGGTGTTTAAAGAAGCTATGTTGAAAACAATAAAAAAGGCTGTGGAGGATAAATGGAGTGAGGAATTGGATTGTGCTTGGGGTAAAGCCTATGATGAATTAGCTGCTGCAATTAAGAAGGCAATGGGATGGCCATAAAAAAAGTTTAATAGATTATTTTCTTTTCACTAAACTTGTTAAACAAGTTTCTCTTCAAAATGTCGTTAGAAATAAGTAGTGATAAAAGAGAAATTAGTGATATATATTTCATATTATAAGAATACTCTAGAATTGTATCATGCGGAACTATCGCCCTCACACTCTTCAATTGCCTTAAACAATTAATTGCGCCTAACACATGTCTGGGAAACATATGGGCAAGGGGCAAAGGGAGCCTTGCGTCATTACGCTAGTTTGGTAGGTACACCATCAACTTAACTCTAAGAAACATGTAACAAACTTAAGAAGTGCTTGAACATGTCAGTGGTGAGTGATGTCAGTGGTGAGTGACTTGATCAACATATCAATTGCATTCTCTAACATATGAATTTTTGTAAGTAATATTTGTCAAGAAGCAAGTTACTCTCTAATCTTGTGAAACCTCACGCCAATATGATTAATCCTGATGTAATATATCTGATTATTTGCCAAATAAATATCACAATGACTATCATAATGCAATTGAACCCATCCTTTCTCAACACCCAATTCCCTAATCAATATTGTAACACACCAGACCCGTTTAACAACCTTATCTACTATTATGTACTTTACTTCAATTGTGGACTTGACCATCATGAATTGATTACCAACAATCAACATAATATCCACATACATTAAAAAGAAAATAAAAGAGTCGTCATAGAGACTCTTAATATAAACACAATAGTCATACTCACATCTTATGTAGCCAATTTGATTAATGTAGGAATCAAAACGTTTGCACAAATATCTTAGAGAATATTTTAAACCATATAAAGACATCTTCAACTTATAAAATAGCTTAGCTATTTCCATATCATTGAAATCCTATGACTTCTTCATATAAATATGCTCATATGGATTACCATGAAAAATATTTATTCGCATCCATCTGCTCTAAATTAACTTGGCTACCAAAGCTAACACAACCTTGATAGAATTATGTCTAACAAAGGAAGATAAAATATCTTCATAGTCAATCCCTTTATGATGTAAGCACCTGTTAAATCCATGGTCTTAGGATTGACATAAATTTTGCTAAAACATAGTTTTTAACTGATGTTGAGCAAGATGTCATAATATCTTGACCAACTGTCATGACAAGTTCTGCTGTCATGCTTATCAGACAGATGTTGAGCCAAATGTCTTGACATCTTGGCCTGTTATACAGCAGGCACTGCTGTATATCTCTTGACAAATTTGATTTGTTTTTAAGATATTCTTTTGGATATATCTCATTATTTTGCGCAGATCAATAAGACTTATTAGGAACAAGTGCATATTTGATTTGGTTTCATTAAAAAAGGATCTTGGAGACTTTTTAGTAAAATTTAAAAGATTTGTTCCTATTTTTATATGAAGATCTTGCGGCTGATTTAAGAACTGAAGATTGGATTTGATTTGAAGAGTCCAAATTTATTCTGCAAGAGTCTATAAATAAGGACTTGGTAAATCTAAAATAGCAAGCATTCACATTGAAGAAACCATGGGTGAAAGATAAAGATTAGGGTTTTAGGAGTCTTTTAAGTTCTTTGTGTTTTCGTTCTTTGTATGTCACTCATGTATCTTTTGATACATTGAGGTAGATTGGTTGTTACTTGATAGTTTTATCAAGTTATTGTTCTCACTCATGAGCTTTTAAGAAAATAGTTGAGTATTGTTCTTAGTTGAAACTTTTAAGCAAAACTAAGTATTATTTATTTGAAGTGTAATCTTCTATTTGGTTATGTCAGTTTAGTCACAAGATTTGTGACTGTACGTATCACTGAGGTGATTGGAAGTGAGAGGGGGTTCTCATATCTAGAGGTGTCTAGGTAGAAGTTGCACAAGATAGTGATTAGGAGAGAAGTTATAAACTGAGATTTTTTAGGATTTAAACTAATATTATAATAGTGGGTTTCCTTCCTGGCTTGGTATTCTCCAGAGTAGGTGATGTTGCCCCGAAATGGGTTAACAATTAACTGCGTTAATTTACTTTCAGTATTTTATTTTCCTGCATAATTCTTCTTCTGAAAGTTTCTGTTTTAGGAACAAATGTTTTAATATTTGTCTTAATATTGTGTTGGTGTTAGGACATCAGTCTTGGCATCTGTATTGCAAGTCCTAGAATTTCAATTGGTATCAGAGCATGCATCTTGTTGTGGTTATTGGGTGAGCTCCAGGGAGAATAATTTTTGGTACTATGGATAAAGAAGGAGGATACAATAACAAGCCAACTCTTCTAGATGGTTCAAATTATGATTGGTGGAAAGTTAGAATGATGGTTTTTCTGAAATCTATGGACAATAGGGCTTGGAAGGATGTTTTGAAAGGATAAGAACATCCTGTTGAGAAGGACAAAGATGGGAATGTATCTTTGAAGCCAGAAGAGGATTGAAATGATGAGGATGATAAATTAGCTCTTGGAAATTTCAAAGCCTTGAATTCTTTATTCAATAGAGTAGACAAGAATGTATTCAGGTTGATTAATACATGTATTATAGCAAGGATGCTTGGGAAATCTTCAGAATAACTCATGAAGGTACATCCAAAGTAAAAATTTCAAGACTTCAGCTTCTCACTTCAAAATTTGAGAATCTAAAGATGAATGATGATGAGACCATCCAAGAATATCATATGAAGATTCTTGAAATAGCTAATGCATCTAGTGTTTTGGGAGAAAATATGTCAAGAGAAAATCTTGTTAGAAGGATTCTCAGGTCTCTACCTAGGAAATTTGACATGAAGGTGACAACTATTGAAGAGGCTCATGCCATCAGCAACATGAGGATTGATGAACTTGTTGGCTCACTTCAAACTTTTGAATTGGCTATTAGTGACAAGTATGAGAAAAAGAACAAGAGCATAGCTTTGATTTACAATGCTGAAGATGAAGAAGGTCAAGCTGATCTAGATACTGATGAAGGTCTGTCCAATACTATTGTGTTACTCGGGAAACAATTCAATATAATTCTTAAGAGAATGAATAGAAGAGGAAGAACAAATGTTCAGAACATCTCATCTGACATAAGTAATAACTATGAAGCTCAAAAGAATAATAGAACTGGAGACAAGTCAAATCAAAGCAAAGTTATTCAATGTTATGAGTGTGAAGGTTTTGGTCATATTAGGCCAAAATGTCCAAACTTTCTCAAGAAGCAAAAAAGGGGTTTATTGTATCTTGGTCTGATGATGACGAGTCAGAAGATGAATCAAACATTGAGAGTGCCAAACTTGTAATGACTCTTTCTGGCAGATGGGCAGATGAAGTGGAAGCTTATGATGAAAGTGTCCTTTATGAAGACCTTGATGTATCTTATAAGGACATGTGTGAAAAAAGTCTTAAGATAGAAGAAGAACAGAGAAAGATCATATCTGAATTGGAGAATGAAAAGAAGAAGCTTATATATTCTGTTTCACATCTTCAAAGTGAGGTAACTCTCTTAAACTCCAAGCTTAATAACATGTCAGATTCCTTGAAGGAGATGAAAAGTTGAGCTGATATGGTGAAAAAGGATGAAGATACAGGATTTGATTATCAATATGATAATAAACAAAGAAGAGTGTATGAAGATGAGTCATTTCCTCCTGAAAGGAAAAGAATGATCAACATGTCCAACCACATGTTAAAATATTCTGGCAGACATGGTAAAAACATTATCTAAATTTCAATCATAAACGTGGATATGTCATTATTATGGTGAGCATAGCCATATTAAGCCTTTATATTATAAACTGTATGGAGATGAAAAAAATCTTCAGTTCATTCTGAGACTGATCAAGTGAGAAAAAAAATAAGTGTTAAAAATAAGGATATTAACTTTATTGCTCATACTTCCTTAAGAGACTCAAATGGAGAAGACTAGTACTTTGACAGTGGATGCTCTAGACACATGACATGGGTTAAGAAGTTATTGGTGAATATTAGGCCTCATATCACATGTTTTGTCAGATTTGGTGATAGGTTTAAAGGTGAAATTAAATGAGTTAGAAAGTTGATGTGTGCTAGTTCACCTAGTTTAGAAGATGTTCTTCTTGTGAAATGATTAATTGTTAATCTTATTAGCATTAGTCAATTGTGTTACCAATGACTATTAGTCAATTTCTCAAAATATGAATGTTGGGTCAAAGATGAGAAAGATGTTGTTATGATGAAGGACATAAGGTCTAAAGATAATTATCATTTATGGAAATCTCAAATAATTGCTTACTCTTCTACATGTTCAATATCCAATGAGAATGAAGTAAAGTCCTGGCACCAGAAACTTGGACACCTCCATCTCAAAAGAATGAAGGAAATCATATCTAAAGGAGTCATTAGAGGAATTCCAGAGCTCAAGATTGAAGAAGGGAAAGTCTGTGGTAAATGTGAAATTAAGAAGAAAGACATGATGTCACATCCAATGTTGCAACATCAGACTACTTTCAAAGTGTTGGAACTTATTCATATGGACTTAATGGTACAAATGTAGATAGAAAGCTTGGGTGGAAAGAGGCATGTCTATGTGATTATAGATGATTTTTCTGGGTATACTTGTGAAATTATGTTTGTCAGATCCCAGATGTCCTAAGAGATGTCGAGATATCGGATCTGACTTCAACACACAACAACAAGATATATGAACAAAATAAATAATGCTGAATATAAAGAACACACATATATGTTTACCCAGTTCGAAACAACTTTCGTACTTTGGGGGCTACCAAGCCAGGGATGAAATTAACTAGATAGTATCAATTTGTAAACCTCACAGCAAACATCCCAGTTTACAGCCTACACACTTAATCACTACCCTTTGCTTAATTTATACCTAAGACATACCTAGGTATGAGGCCCTCCTTAAATCTGTCTTTAATTACACTCAACAATTGAAGCAACTCTAAACACAAGTAGATATCAAAACCGGGAGTCACTCTTCAAATACACACAAAACTCAATGCTTAAAAGCTTATGAGAATTGACACACAAATACTCAATG